TTCCACAGTGGTTGCACCATTTTACAATCCCACCAGCAGTGAATAAAGGTTCCATTTTCTCCACAACCCCGCCACCATTTGTTGCTTGCGTTCTGTTAAAGTTTGCTCTTCTGACTGGGGTGAGATGATACCTCATAGTTGTTGGAGCCATTTAACTTTTAACTCATTGAAATGTCTTCTTATGCTTTAATGAAAGGAAGACATATTTGTTTCGCTTTTAAAAAGCAAAAAAGAAACGTTGTTTTGAGAAAATTCCTTCTGTCTGTTGGGATGCAATAAACATTTTTTAAACAGTAGTAAAATAGTACTGTTGGTTTGTTAATACAACATCTGAACAAATAGTATTTCACACTTGTTTTAAATATTCAGAATGAATATATAACACTGTCATTTCGTTAGTGAGAAAGTTATCAGTTGTTGGACAGTGAGGCCTAAGAAATTGAAATATTATTAATTTCTCTTTTATAAATGTATTTTTGCTTATTTTAAATGGATATGCTAATTTAAGAAAATTTAAGCCATCTAGTACAAAGATATAAATCAGGTTCCTCTTAAAATGTTAACTTCTTGGTAAATACTGTTTTAAATAACATTATTAAAAAATACACATATACTTATACACATGCAATTTTACATAAATGAAGTATTTTTGTATGCTGTTCTATATCAAGATTTAAGCATCTCTATGGCATTTAATTAGATGAATATACCAGTTTATTTAGCACTTCCATTTCCTCAGTTGTCATATAGTATAAAAATAGTATTATAATCCATGCAGAATACTTAAAACAATGCTACCACAAAAGCACTCCATAAATGTTAGTGGCTATTGTTATTGCATATAATGTTACTTTCTAATTATTCATTATTAAAAGCAACACTATGCTAAACATCTTGTGCTTTCCCCCCCGACCTATTCAGGTTAAGTCAAAAGATATGTTGTTGTTGTTATGTGCCGTCGAGTTGCCTGCGACTCATAGCAACCCTATGTACAACAGCCCTAAACTCCACTCTGTCCTGTGCCAATCGCACTGTCTCTGACACTCCCATCCCAATTATCCCAGTCACTGAATCAATCCACCTCATAGAGGGCCTTCCTCTCCTGTGCTGTCCCTCCACCCTCCCAAGCATGATGTCCCTCTCTAAGGACCGGTCTCTCCTCACAACACGTCCAAAGTAAGTTAGATGGAGCCTGAGAATCCTTGCCTCCAAGGAGCCACCCAGTTTAACCCTTTCCAGGACAAATCTGTTTGTTTTCCTAGCAGTCCATGGTATTCTCAATACTCTTGTCCAGCACCACAGCTCAAAGGCATCAATTCTCCTTCTATCCTCCCTGGTCATTGTCCAACTCTCTGATGCATAACAGGTGATTGCGAAGACCATGGCCTGTATCAGACACACCTTAGTCTCCAGAGAGACACCACTGCTCTTCAGCACTTTGGAGAGGTCCCTAACAGCAGACTTTCCCATGGCAATGCGCCTTTTAATTTCCTGGCTGCTGGTGCCAAGACTGTTGACTATGGAGCCAAGCAAACTAAAGCTGTGTACAATCTCAATCTCTTCACCATCCATCCTGATGCTGCCAATTGGTCCAGTGGTGAGAATCTTTGTCTTCTTGACATTGAGCCTCAATCCATATTGTAGGCTGCAGTCCTTGAAGCTCTGCAGCAGGTGCTTCAGGTCCTCTTCAGTTTCAGCAAGCAGGGTGTGCCATCCGCATAACGCAGATTGTTGATAAATCGTCCACCAATCTTGACCCCACATTTCTCCTCATAGAGCCCAGCCTTTCAAAAGATATACTATCCATTAATTCTTTTTAAAAAAAAAATCAATTGATTCTTAAAGGATAAGCCTAAAGCCTTTATTTTACCTTACTTTAATCTTTACTGAGGCAAGAAAAGAGCTTAAGGCCACCTTAACACTATAGATTAATAAGACAATGATTAGTCAGTAACAGATCTATAAAATTATATTTCCAGTCATATCTAAGCAGTATTTGTATGAAATCGAGAAATAATTTTACGTATTCTGTGAATCAAGAAGCATAGATTGATTTGACTTTGTAGTTCTAGCTTAGCAGAAACTTATTGTACGAGTTGTTAAGGTGATACCATCTTTTACGATGCTGCTAGTTCTAAATGACGTTATCTTGTCAGAGGCCAAACCGATTTCAGAATCCATGCCTAGTGTTAACACCTCAAATTCCTTGTCCAATCTGATCTTGTCCAGTGCTATTATTGTGCATGAACTGCCTTTGTAATACAGTTCATTCTTAGACCATGATTCTTCTTTCAGTGTCTGTTTTAAAAAGACAAGGAAATACCAGTCTGAGGCATATCTATGACAGTCAGGAGACAAAAGCATTCATTGGTGAAAGGTTCTAAAGGGACAGAGCGAGAAAGACTAAGAGTCTGTTCTTCGTGGCTGAACCTGCTGAATCTGCCGTTGTCACTATGGAAGAAACAAACTCAAACCTGTTAGACATAGCAGGGGCAGAAGGGCCATCCCAATAAATGCCCCAAGTTTATTGTCTAATAATGGCAATTGGTCCTTGACTTTTTCAAAGCAGTCACTGAAGGTATGGTCACTCAGCCCCTAAATACATTAGACGTTCTCTCCTTATTGAAAACTGAAGCAGGAGACGTAGATGTGAGACTAGAGCTTTATCAGAAATGATCCAAAGAGCAGGTGAAGCAGCTGAAAGTGTCCAAAAGCATCTAAGAAACAGCTGAAGGATACAAGTCAAAGACATCTTTGTTTCTTTTATCTTTCTCATTTAGGCCAGACACTAGAATTTTTTTTTTGTCTTTTAAACTTCAATTCCTTATGCATGATGCATTATAAAGAAAATAATAAATGTTAATACCATACTATGAAGCTGCTAACTTAAGAAGCACAAATATGACCAAACAATAAGCTAAATAATTTAATATTTTATCATGAAAGGACTTTAATTTACTTTTCCCTTCTTCCTCACACAGTAGCCAGCATTGGAGGATGTATATTATTTTTGGAATAGGGGAAAATATTTTTGAGGAAGATATTATTTAAAAACTTAGCAAGCTGAAGCTTGTAATTTTAAAAAATCTTGATGGCCCTTCTGAAGGGGAAAAAAGAAACATTTTGAAAGTAAGTCTGAGATATATTTTATTGTTAAATAATTTAAAATTAAATATTGTGTACATATGAAGTTTTCATATGTACACAAAAACATATTACAACAAATAGTCTAAGAAGTTCATGACTCAATCCCTCAGGGCCAGTGTCATCCCTGTCTTGCCAATTGTCTTTCTCTAGCTCCCTAACCTTTGTTTTATTTTAAAACAAATTCCAGAGACTGTTATTTCATTCATAACTCAGTGTACACATCTCTTATTGTCAAGTTATAGTTTTTTTGTTCCCAGCCTGGATAATTGATTCTGGGATTGAAAGAGCCTGCATTTGTTGGTAAAATGGTGGTTGCAAGGCAGGCCATTCCAGTCTATCTTGTGATCTT